ATCCCCTAGTGATTTCTCCTGTTACGGTAGATGTTAAGTCCCCATTTGATTGATTAGCAAAGATCCACAGAAGCTCAAGTAACCTGCTTAAGAAGTGGGGCCAGGGTCCGGACAGCCAGAGCCAGCACCCTCAGCCACCAGATGGTTTTGCTTCTGTATTTGCCCTCCCTTGAGTGGCCTGAACCTGTCGGTTGAGTTCTGGATGGACAGACAGGGGCCCTGGGTCTGTGGCTGTCCAGTGTTTAATAAATGGGATGTGTCCCTTGCAGAGAACCAATACTACGTTTACTCAGCCTTAGGGTATTGGTTGAAATCAGGTTCTACCACTTTCTGACTCTCATCTTCCCTCCAAAAGTTTACCTTTAGGGGAAGAATTTTTTTTTTTAATTTTTAAATTATAATATCCATTATAATGACACTTTCCACTATGGAGCCCCACAGGGTTAATATTGGGTTGCAAAATCAACCGTGTTGGTGTTGTTGCCGAAACAGCCAGTTCAGTGGTAACCCCAGAAAACCTATTCCGATGCTTTCTTACTGATTAAATCAACGAGCTGGTGTTGACCCAGTGTGTTGTAATAAATCAAAGGTTATAAACTGACTGCATATACTTGATCCCACATGTAGAAGTCTGAGCAACCATCGTGATCAAAGGAAGATACGGTTTAAAAAACTGTTTCTGTTGCCTTTTCTCCTGCACAAACGTTCCTTTCTCTCTCTCTCTTTTTCAGCTTCATTTTGGATTAAAAATGTGCGATCAGACCTTTCTCGTAAATGTATTTGGCTCCTGTGACAAATGTTTCAAACAACGGGCTCTGAGACCAGTTTTCAAGAAATCTCAACAGCTCAGCTACTGTTCAACATGTGCAGAAATCGTAAGTGCCACTTTAAAAGAATTCACGTGGTTATCTTGTTTTAAAATGATGGCTAATATCAGGGTCCTATGACAAATGAGTCACCATCCCATCAGTTTATTCACACAGACATTTTGAACACAGTTGGGCTGAACGAGGCAGCATAGCCTGGGGGTTTCAAGGTGTGAACCCTCTGACCTCTGGGGTTCAAATCCTTGTTATGTTCCTTGCCAGTCTTGGTGCCAACAGATTTCAACTGACTTAGGAGGTCAGTTTTCAAATATGTAAAATAGGAACAATAACATCTATCTCATAGGGCTTTATGAGAATTCGGTGAGTTCATTTGATAAAGCATTTAAAACAGTACCCAGCAGAGGCCGTGCTCAATGAATGTTTTAGCTATTACTACTTTTTTAGGGCTAATGCTTTTTGTTTTTGCTTTATGTCTGCTTGACAAGTAACCAAGCTAAAATAGACTCTGGCAAACAAATAGCCTGAAAGTGCCTCTCCGAAGGCCATGATCCAGCTTTCCAGCTCTGCTGAAGACTGGACCCTCCAGGGCCTCTGTAGTAAGCAAAATTAAGTTCAAGGAAATGTGCTCCTTAGGCCTAAGATGCTGGGGACCAGGGACTGAATATAAATCCTTACATTTTTCAAAGAACATAAATCAGTCCTCACTAGAGGTGGCTATGCACAGGCTTTTCACTTCTTTGTAGCATGCCCATAGCATGGTGGAAGCCCTAGAAATTAGTCCTGAGGGGATGTGCAGGGTTCAGTAATACAGCTCAGCAGAGCCCCCAGCTGGTCAAAAAGTGGTAAAGTACTCTTCTGCAAAACCCCAATTGGAAATGCCTCATTGTCAACACAGTTTTAAACCCATCTGTCAAAGACAGGAAAGAGGATTTTTACATTTTATCCAACTGAAGGGGAAAACGCAGTATTCATCCTCTTGGTCCCACTGTAACCCCTGCCAGTAATTACATTTAAAAAATTATTCTCGTAAAGCTAACGGCAAGTAAACAGCCCAGAGAGACACACAGGCTTTGGTACAGCATCATAATCGTGACATCACAAGATTCAGGCTCAGTGTAACGGGCTTCTATCCGCAGTGCACTGTGTTCTAAACGTGGCTCTGCACGTCATCAGACTGATGACATTTGGTTCTTAAAATAAGCCTGCTTTCCAGGGCCCTGCCATTCTGGAGCAGTGCTACTTATTAATCTTAGCTATTTTTAAAATCTTTTTTTTTTTTAAGATTTTATTTATTTATTTATTTGACAGAGAGAGATCACAATTAGACGGAGAGGCAGGCAGAGAGAGAGAGAGAGAGAGAGAGGGAAGCAGGTTCCCTGCTGAGCAGAGAACCTGATGCGGGACTCGATCCCAGGACCCTGAGATCATGACCTGAGCCGAAGGCAGCAGCTTAACCCACTGAGCCACCCAGGCGCCCCTAAAATATTTTTTAAACAGTTTCTTCTGTGGATACTGAGAGCCCAGAGTCCCTGTTGTCACATCCTGTAGCATCGAACATTTTCCCCAGGGCAGAGGCTCCGCCTGGAGAGCTTTTCCAGGAAACTGTCACAGGCTCTCTCCACAAGCACTTGGGGGTTCCCAAATATTCAGACACCCTCTTGTGGCTGAGGAGACATCCAAAGACTGACAGCTAATTTCCACCCAGGTGTTTGCATTTGTGTAGCACCCCTCGCCCCAGACCCTTTTCATGAATAGGGGAAATACTGTAACTCCACTCCTGTTGAAATGCAGAGGACCTCAACTTTTATGGTCTCCTTCTTCCTTACTTAGAAAAGGGAGTTAAAACCAAAGTACAGAAAGGCACTTTGCAAACTCTGCCATCTGTAAAGAAGTCACGTGACCTTATCGCTAGATGGTAGGACCTCTAGAATGGAGGATGTTTGGGGTTTGTTTTACAGAGAGGACCTCCAGAGAAGGGCACACCCCAGTGTGAAGCTCCGCTCACCCCAGGTCACAGGCAGGAAGACCTCCAGCAGGCACACATCCCAGGATGGGCCACAAGAGGTCACTGAGGAGGTGATGAGAGGATCTGTTTTGCTAGGCCTGAGGTGACCCTGCTGAGAAGTGCCTCCCATGACCTAGTGTCTCGTTTGAATTACTTCAGGGGAATTGCTCAAGTGTATCAGGGAGACTTAATAATAATGAGCAAACAGTTTGTGTCAGGCACAGCTCTGAACGCGCTGAGAGGTCACCCCGATGAGGCCTTTCTGGGGAGGTGTTATCCATTCACAGTTAAGGAGCCTGAGACACAGAGAAGTTAATCACCTGAGGCCACACAACACAGCCAGGGTTTATCCTCAGGCAGTATGACCTAGATGGGCCTGGGGCTATCTTAAACTTTTGCTCTACAGACTCTGAAGCACAGGTCATATTTTTGCTTTTATAAGTAGTTGCATGTATCTAAAGCATTTATATTTATATATTGACATTTCATATTTGTTTCATTTTAATTATATATTTTATATATTCTGTTTAATACATCCACTTCATAAACTAACATTAACTGAGGACCTACCATACACCAGTTACTATGCTAAATACTGAGGATAAATGATGAATAAAACTACACTGATGGAAAAAGGGAAAGGGGAGTTAGCTGGCAGTTAATACACACCTGCTATGATGGAAAAGTCTGCTAAGAGATTCACTCAAATTACCTTACTTAATTCTTGTAACAGCCCAGTGAAGTAGATTTTTCAGATAAGGAAACTGAGGAGCTCAGAATCTAACCTCCTAGACCACCATGTATAGATGAATACAGATTACTTCCAACTTTTCTTTGATAAAGAGCTGCCCAAGACAACAAGTTGAGGCTAGATTGTTGAGGGAGTGAGGGGTGAGGATAGCCCCCAAAATCCTGCTTGGGAATGTTTGCTCTGGAATTTACAACCTTAAATTAGCCTTCTCATTTTACACACACACACACACACACACACACACACACAGAGTCATGGACAAAGGAAAAGGGAGAAGCCAAGGTTTGGATCCTCCCCACTGAAGTCCAGAAGGCAGGTAGCCCGATGAAGCCACATTGCCTCGGTCCAAATTCTGCCTTCGCCTCTTTCTCAAAGTGTGGTTCAAGCAGATCACTTAACCTGTGCCTCCGTGTCCTCGTTTGTAAAATGGGGACATCAGTATCCATTCAGGGTGATCACTGCGATTTACTAATGTAAAGTGCTTGGAACAGTGCCTGGCACTGCCGGGGACTGGGAAAAAGAGATACTTGAGCCTGCCATGACGTCACTAAATTCGCTAGTTACCCCTAAATACCCACTAAATTCGTTACCCCTAGTAACCTTTCATTCTGGAGTGGAGGAAGCTGCCTCAGAAGAGACACATCTTAGATCATGGAGTGTGGGTCCAAACACCCGGGTCTGGGCCCCTGTATACTAACCCCGGCTCTGCCAGCACCTCATTTTGCTGACCCCAGGCCAGGGACTTAATTCCCTGTGTGGAAAGAGGAAAAGCAAAACCAAGAGTGCACTTCCTAATGCCGCAAAGCCTCTACAGCTTCTCAGAAGCCAGATTTAGCTTTATTTTAGTATATTTAAGTCAACAAAGGAGGAACGTTTCCCATTCGTTGTGGGGGAGCGGCACCCAGGTGAGGCCGGTATCAGTGTATGAGCGGTGCGGGCTGGGCCTCGTCGGGCAGTCCTCGCTCATCTACTCTGCAGGCAGCTGCCACTGGGCAGCCTATCAAGGCCCACTGAGGGGAGACCGGTGCCGGGGAAGGGGAGAGTAGGAAGGCCGTGTCAGCGGGACTTCACCGGCTCCCAGGAGCCGGGCGGTCCTGGGTTGGAATCCCAGTTTGGTCCTTCACCAGGTGCGTGTCCTCCGGCAAGTCACGTTACCATCACTGAGCCTCGGTTTTCCCACCGGTAAAATGGGCACGATACTCCCAGCTTCTCCGGGGTGGTGAGCAGCAGCACCACCGAGGGCATTGCCCTGGGCACAGCGCCAGCGCGCGGCAGGTGCCAGGCGGAGGGGGGGGGCGCGGAGAGGGCGCCGGTGCCCTCCCGTGCGGCGGGCGGAGGGGGGAGTCGGCCGCCGCAGCCCGGCTCGCAGCCGCCGCGTCAGCGCCGGAGGGCGGGGCCGCGCTCGGGGAGACGGCGGTGGAGCTGCACGGGGCCGCTCCTGCCCGCTCGCCGGGCAGGCCTCGGTCGCCCGCTCACCCGCATCCCGGCTCTCCCCTTCCCTCCCCGCCGCGAACCGGCGCGAAGATGGCAACCGACGGGCTGCACGAGAACCAGACCCTGGCGTCGCTGAAGAGCGAGGCCGAGAGCCTGAAGGGCAAACTGGAGGAGGAGCGGGCCAAGCTGCACGACGTGGAGCGTGAGTGCGGGCCGGGGCGGGGGCTGCGCGCCGGGAGGCGGGCCGAGGGAACCAGACCGGCCCCCGGGGGAGCGCGGCTGGCGGGGGGTGGGGGTGGGCGCTGGGCCTCCCAGGGAAGGAGCCAGGCCTGCGCCGGCGCCAGGGATGGGCCCCCGGTTCCCGGGCGCCAGGTGAGGCGCGGGTCGCGGCCCGGAGCCCCGGGGTGCGTGGCTGTGGGGCCCGAGCCCGGAGGCCCTCGGAAACGCGGGACACCTTGCAGAGCACTCCCCTCCCCCCGCTAGCGGAAGCCGTTCCGCCTCTGGGCGGGGGCCCCTGTGGTAGCAGCCCCTGGCCGCTGTTCTTACCTCCCACCCCACCCCCTGAAGGATCTTGGGACCAGTTCGTCCATCACCTGCCTGGGAGCTGCGAACTGGTTGCCTTCCTACCGGAGCGGGGTGGAGGAGGGTGTCGGCGGTAGCCAACACCGCCCTGGTGGGCGCGGCCTAGGGTAAACTCCCGTTTTGTTTTTCCATCATTTAGCTTTCTCCATCACTGTGGAGCCTTTTCTCAGTTTTGCTTTTACGAGGAACCAGGCTCTGAGTTAAAAACATCGTTTTTCCACTCTGCCCCCTTTCCTTGGGCGAAGGGGTGTGGAGAACCAGATGAGGGAAAAAAGCAGAGGAAAAGAAGCAAAAGGGAAAAAGAAGCAAAAGAGAAAAAAAGCAAAAGAAGCTTTTGAATGGATGCGGTGCGTTTGGCATAAAAGAGCAATGCCAGTCTTAAATAAACTTAATTATTGACCACCACCATAATTCAGAAACGGCTCTGTGATTTTTATGAGCAAGCAATTAAATAGCCAGGTTAAATGACTCTTGGTGGGATCCGCTTCCCTTTACCGTCAGATGGTTTGTCCTCAGCAGAGTTTGGGCTCAGGGCCAGGCTTGGGGAAGTGGCTTTATCTGCATTTCAGCTCCGAGGGTGGCAGCTCCCCTTTGCTGAGCACAGCCTCCCCCCCACACCCCACCCCCGCCACGGTACCCTCAGGCACCCCTCAGGCTCCTGCCATTCCTATCTGGTGCCACCCCTTTTAAAGACTATTTGGAGAAGAAACATGGGGTTCATGCTAGGTCATTGAGTGCCTGATGCCTTTCTTTGAAAATCACTTGATAGAAGCAGATGACGTGACTCTATAGAGTGTGCTTTCTTTCCAAGGGGCCTTCTTTAAATCAGAGACATGCTAAACCACTTATCATTTAGGGATGTGTCCAGCTACAATGAACCATAAACCCCAAATAAAGCAAATTGGGAGTTATTTTCCTTATATCACAGGAAGAAGTGTCAATGACCACTAGCTTTGGTTCAGCTGCCTAGAGTGCCATCAAGGACCCAGACTCCAGGCTTTCTTCTCCATTACCCTGAAAACACTGGCTTTAGCCCCATGATTATAATATGACTGCCCCAGCTCCAAACATAACCTCTGTATCCAGGGCAAGAAGGGGCAATGTGGGCACCAGCCTCTTGTTTTCCTTCTTATCAGGAAAGCAGAAGTTTTCCCCAAAGCCTCCTTTCTCCCAACAGATTTTGTACTTTATTGGCCAGAAGTAGGTCACATAGTTATTGCAAGGAAGATTGGGAAAGGGAGAAGTGAACTGGACACATTGTCATCCCCGGATAAAGCTGGGCTTCTGTTATCAGGGAGTGGTAGGGAACAGCAATTGGGAGGCACTGGGCAAAGTCTGCCTCATTTCACTCAGCCAGTTCCTGCATTGTGCAGATGCTGTCGATGATGCTGTCAGTGTTGGTTGGGTGCCTCTGAGGTAGGTCTTCTGACTTCTGCATGTTACAGATGAGGAAACTGAGTGAAGGGACTTGCTAGGGGACTGCAGCCAGTAAGTGGTGGGACCAGGATGCCAGTCCAGGCAGTCAGAACTCCAGCCCAGCCTCACTTCAGCTCTGTGCCCAGTCCCTTTGGGCTCTGTGCAGAGGAGGTTCTCCAGAAGCTCTTCATCAGCAGGGCAGACTGCCCGCAGGGAACCTCTCAGCCTTTTCCTTGGCTTGGGAAATGGCCTTAAGGCAGAGAGATAGTCAAGGTAGAGCTTTTCAACACAGAACCCCCATCCTGCCAAGGATGCAGTACCCTCAGAAGCCAGGGCTGAATTTTGGACTCACAGTGGAAAGGTCTGTCTCCATATGGATAGAAGTCAGACCTTTGGCCAGCGTTAAATAGAGGAAATGGCTTATATGGGTCCCTAGGGGAAGCCAGCCTACATGAAACTCCATAGCCCCGGGCCTTGGGCCCCTGACTTTCACCTTATTCCTTCAAAGCTTCCTCCTCCCTAGATGTTTCCCCTTACGGGATGTTTCGGGATGTTTCCCCTGCCTTCTGCTTACCTTCTGCCATGGGTAAGTGTTTCCTTCCTTGATTGTAAGACATTTTAGAATCATGAAGTTATAGCTTATATTAGTTTCCTCTTGCTGTTGTAGAAATTTCCATAAACATAGGGACTTAGAGCAACATAAATTTACTCTTACAGTTCTGGACATCAGAAGTCTATAGTGGGTCTTCAGGGCTGCATTCCTTCTGGAACCTTTAGGGGAGAGGTTCTTTCTTGCCTTTTCCGCCTCTGGAGGCTGCCTGCAATCCTTGGCTTGTGGCCTCTGACCTTTCTGTCATCACCTCACCTTCTTTGACCCTGACCTGCCTGCCTTCCCCTCATAAGGACCCTTATGACTATAGTGGGCCTACCTGTATAAATCAGGGTAATCATCCCGCCTCAAGATCCTTAACATAATCACATCTACAAAGCCCCTTTTGCCATGTAAAGTAACATAGTTACAGGTTCCAAGGATTGGGACATGGAGATCTTTGGAGGTCCTATCCCACAGTTCTCAAAACTAGAAGGGTCACTTGCTTCAGCCTCAGTCCTCGGGCACAAAAATTTTCCTTCCCCTCCTCTCCATAACCTTATGGATGAGGAGACTGTTGAGATCCAGGGAAGGATAAAGGGAATGCCTTAAGCTTCTGCAGCTACTCTAAGGGAGAATGGGGGTGGGGGGAGATGCCAGGGTTTGGGCTCCTAGTATTAGCTCTCCTTCTCACCCTGCTAGTCCATCTCTCAGGCAATGGAGACTTACATTAAAAAGGAAAAAAAAATCCATGTATGTGTATGAAAAGGTCTCAATATGAAATTGAAAAAGTACAAAACAGTATAACATGACCTCATTAGCTTAAACAAGGGATGCTTGTATGTGCATTGAATTTGTGGCAGGATACATGAGAAACTTGTTTTCTCTAGAGAGAGCCCAGGGGAGAGAGGGGAGGTAGAGGTACTTTTCACTGTATACCCATCTGTGCATTTCCTGCTTTGATAATAAAAAATGAGAACTGGAATGAGAGTCAAGATCAAGAACAAAGATGAGAGTTCAACTTTAAAGAGTCCTTAACTTGAAATTAAACAGAAGAGTGAGCCAGAAAGGGCAGGAGGCACGCTGTGTTTATGTCAGGCAGCATGTATGGCAGCCTCGTGGGGGTTGTGGGGGGCTTCTTCCAGATTCCCAGCCTCTTTGAGGGCGGATTCTAATCTAGCGTAGGAACAAAGCCACTCAAAGATGTATGTAATTTCTTGAGTACATATCTAGAGGAAATTTGGGCAAGTCACAGGACTTACCATCAGATACTGTTTATTCACTTTTCTATCTCTTATAAATGTAACTTTGTGAAAGGTTTTATTCTCAAAGGCTATATGATAACAGGAGCCTTGGACTATTCTGATTTTATGGTTTAAGGAGAAACCAAGGAAAACCAATTTCTGGATTAGTCTGAAGCAAATACATTGACTGGCTTTTTCCAAGTTTTAAGGAAATATGCTGTGTGGCCTGAGGCTGGACATGAGTTTCCCTACAAACTAATCGTCTCGCTGCTGCTCTCCCCCGTGCTGCCTGCAGCCATGAGAGGGAGCCAAGAGCAAACCTACCTTTCGTCTCTCCCCTTGCTTTGGCTCTGTGTTCATAATTGCAACAAGCTAGCTCACACAAGTATCTCTAGGCTTCCACCATAATAAACTAAGGCCCACTATAACAAATTTAGAAATCTGGAAGTAAACAAGCTATTCATAACCCCACCACCCAGAGGTAGCCACTTTGAATATTTTGGTGTCTTTCATAACTTATGATTTTTTTTTTTTAAAGATTTTATTTATTTATTTGACAGAGAGAGATCACAAGTAGACAGAGAGGCAGGCAGAGAGAGAGAGAGAGAGAGAGAAGAGAAGCAGGCTCCCTGCCGAGCAGAGAGCCCGATGGGACTCGATCCCAGGACCCTGAGATCATGACCTGAGCCGAAGGCAGCGGCTTAACCCACTGAGCCACCCAGGCGCCCCCATAACTTATGATTTTATGTTTGTGCTAATTATTTGTGAGCATACTTGGGATTGTACTAGATTCAGAGTTTGAGCCTAATTTTAAATTAACACAGTGGATTACATAGCTCCCCGTGTCATTTTGCCCTTCTGTTTAACGTCAATATTTTGATTTTATTGTATGGAGGCATGTAGTACTCCGTCTGAAAGACTGCACCATTGCTTAGCCTCTCCAGCTTTTAATTAGGGAATTCTGGGGAGATTTTTTTTTTAACATTTTATTTATTTATTTGAGAGAGAGAGAGAGAGAGACAGTGAGAGAGAGCATGAGCGAGGAGAAGGTCAGAGAGAGAAGCAGACTCCCCGTGGAGCTGGGAGCCCGATGCGGGACTTGATCCCGGAACTCCAGGATCATGACCTGAGCCGAAGGCAGTCGCTTAACCAACTGAGCCACCCAGGCGCCCCTGGGGAGATTTTTTTTGTGTGTGTAGCTAATGTATGTGTTGGAGCAATTCCAAAATCCCAAGCACACAAGAAGTAATGTGATTGCAGATGTTTTCCTTCCATCCAAGTGTTTGAGGGTTTTTATATCTCACCCCATTCAATCGAGGGGTAGAATCAGAGAGAACCCATTTTTAAATTTTTTCATTTGTATTTTTTAACTGAATCTAGCTGACATACAGTGTTACATTAGTTTCAGGTGTACGGCAGTGATTTGATAACTCTGTAGGTTATGCTCTGCTCACAAGAGTAGCTACCATCTGTCCCCAGACAGCTCTATACAATATCATTGACTGTACTCTCTATGCTGTTATCCCATTTTATCCCTGTGACTTAGTATTTTTTTTTAATTTAAATTCAATTAGCCAACTTATAGTACATCATTAGTTTCAGATGTCACATTCAGTAATTCACCAGTTGAGGATAACACCCAGGGCTCCTCACACCACGTGTGCCCTCCTTAATGCCCATCACCCAGGTTCCCCATTCCCCCCACCGTCCCCATGACTTATTCATTCCATAACTGGAACCCCGTACCTCCCTCTCCTCTTCCCCCATTTTGCCCATCCTCCACCTCCTCTCCTCTGGCAACCCTCAGTCTGTTCTCCGTATTTATGGGTCTGCTTCTGCATTTGCTTTGTTTTGTTTTTTAGATTTCACATAAAAGTGAGGTCATATGGATTTGTCTTTCTCTGACTTATTTCACTGTCACAAATGCTAAGATCTCATTCTTCTACAAGAAGTATGCCATTGTGTGTGTGTGTGTGTGTGTGTGTGTGTGTATATCACATCTTCTTTATCCATTCCTCTATCAATGGACACTTGGGTTGCAAACTGAATTTTTTAGAATTAGCTTTGGATAATTTTTCATCCTCAGTTCCTTAGATCTTCCACCAAATAGTGGCCATGAAAGACAGTTTATTGGTGCAAAATTTGGAAGGTGATTCAGCCTCCCCTTTCCTTACTCCAGTTCCTATGGATCCTTCAAAACGAGGTACCTGTGACGTCCCCTCCTGATGGCACAGCTGCCGGCAGAGTCAGCTGGGTTACCCTGGGCTCCCCACCACCTCTGTTACCTCCCTACAGCTGCGATCTGCCCCCTGCAGACCATGGGCTCTGGAAGGGCAGGGACTGTCTTATTCTTTTCTGTACCTGGCATGTACTCAGGGTTCTAGAGACATCATTCAAGCTGTAACTCTTCAATTTAACAGATGTGAGATTTGCCAGATAGAGATGGGATGGAGTGGGTTTAGAGTAAACCTATATATGGAAAGGAAAATGCAGTGAGAAAAAAATCATTAGTAGCCAGTATATGGTCAGACTCACATTAGATAAGAAAGGCCCCATATCGATTGGGTGAGTCATCCTTTTAGTTCATTAATTTTTTTTATTTTCATGGGAGGGACATAAAATAGCTCTGGTTGTCCCCATGCTGAATTGGGGAAAGCAGCAATGATATCAATGTGAAGTTTCCAAACAAAACACCAAATAAAATGTGCTCACAGCTCTGAGCTGGTACAGACTTGTATAAATGGCCTATAAGAATTTAGAAAAGTCACCATCTTTAAACTATATTCAGTGTGTTTTTAAGAATGTATCTGTAGGGGCACCTGGGTGGCTCAGTGGGTTGAGGCCTCTGCCTTCAGCTCAGGTCATGATCCCAGGGTCCTGGGATCGAGCCCCACATCGGGCTCTCTGCTCGGCAGGGAGCCTGCTTCCTCCTCTGTCTCTCTCTCTCTGCCTGCCTCTCTGTCTACTTGTGATCTCTGTCAAATAAATAAATAAAATCTTTAAAAAAAAAAAAAAAGAATGTATCTGTAAAAAACTGCTGTGCCATTTGTGGCAATAAAGAATGCAATGTTTTGGGGTGTCTGGGTGGCTCAGTGGGTTGAGGCCTCTGCCTTTGGCTCAGGTCACGATCCCAGGGTCCTGGGATCGAGCCCTGCGTCAGGCTCTCTGCTTGGCAGGAAGCCTGCTTCCTGCCCCCCTTTTCTTGCCTCTCTGTCTACTTGAGATTTCTGTCAAATAAATAAATAAAATCTTTTTTAAAAAATGCAATGTTTTAGCAGAAGTGATAGCATAATAATTGCACATTCATGTAGTACTTTTATCTTTTTAAGATTTTTTTTTTAAGATTTTATTTATTTATTTGACAGAGATCACAAGTAGGCAGAGAGGCAGGCAGAGAGAGAGAGAGAGGGGAGGAAGCAGGCTCCCTGCTGAGCAGAGAGCCCGATGTAGCTCCATCCCAGGACCCTGAGATCATGACCTGAGCCGAAGGCAGAGGCTTAACCCACTGAGCCACCCAGGCACCCTTTAAGATTTTATTTTTAAGTCATCTCTACACGCAACATGAGGCTTTACAACCCGGAGATGAAGAGTTGCACACTCCACCCACTAAGCCAGCCAGATACCTCTCTTGTAGTACTTCATAGTTCAGCAAGGACTTTTTATAGTTTGGGTTTTCACAGAGACTTTTAACTGGTTCACACTCTTATTCTTCTATCACAAAGAAATGGGGCAATTAAATGAAACCAAGACTTCTGGGAGAAGTGGCTGATTCTAGGGCCAGAGCAGGGAAAGAACATGAGCTTAGAATAAGAAATACTTAGGGGGCATCTGGGTGGTTCAGTCGTTAAGCATCTGCCTTCACGTCATAATCCCAGGGTTCTGGGATGGAGTTCCACATTGAGCTCCCTGCTCAGCAGCAAGCCCTCGTCTCCCTCTCCCACTACCCCTGCTTGTGTTCCCCCTGTCACTGTCTCTCTCTCTGTTTCTCTGTCAAATAAATAAATAAAATCTTAAAAAAAAATGCTTAGAGAACAATAGGGACATGTCAGAAGGTCGGGGCACTTGCTTGACAGGGCTCCCACGGAGCAAATCAGTGACTAGTTGAGTGTTAAAACAAATAATAATGCTGAGGTATTATAGCCCCTCGAATAAGGTAAGAATCCATGAGTCCCTCTAATATGAATGGGTGAATAAATACACTGAAGAGGAGGGGAGGCTCCTTTTATTAGAAAGACAGCTAAAAATGCAGAAGGAATGATGGAATTAGGAGAATCACTTGCCAACCATCATCACCCATTCAGGCAAGAATCATGAACAGATGTTGAAACGAGGGTATTGGAGTTTGAAGAGTGACAGTTTCGTTACAAAAGGCAAAATGGTAACTCTCCAGGGAAGAAACCCAGCAGACACCACCTCAACCGAATGGTCAGCATGCACAGTACCAGTGACGGGACCAAGGGACAACAGGTGCCTCCTGACGGGGTGCGCTGGTGGGGACTCGGTGTCCGTCTGTGGCGATCCTTCCAAACACGCGTTGCCTGCATCTGATCATGAGCAAGCGGCAGACAAGCCCACGCTGGAAAACTCTAACCGGAAACTAAAGAAACATGACAGTTGAGGGCAGCCCATGGTTCTTGTATTTTCTTTTGCTGTAAAGATATTATTGGGACAATGGAGAGTAACTCAGTAAGGTCTGTAGATTGGATGTAGCATCACTTCGGTGTTTATGTTCTGACTTTGATAATGTGCTGTGGCTCTGTCAGAGTTCCTTGTTTTTAGGAAATAGACAATGCAGTGTTTAGAGAGACCGAGGGGAGGGAGGGAGGATTTCTGAGAAGTCGTGCTGTTGTCAGAGGCTTAAACCACAGCCCAGTCTGGCCCTTCCTGCCCCATTTCCATGAGGGAGGTGGCACTTCCCAGCATGTGGCAGCAGCTCCTGGGAAGGAAGAGGGCCGCCAGCTGCCTTGCCTCACACCCCCCCTACTACCGTGTTGCGCAGCTGTGCTGAGACACCACACCTTTCGTGGGCCTGTCCCTTGCCTTGGATGCCCTTTCCCTCCTTCTCACCTGCCTGGGGGAAAGGCCCAGCTGGGAGAGTTGGAGAAAGAAGTGGTGGGGGAGCGGTTTGGGGCCCCAGTTTTTCCTTCTGGCATAGCCTCTAACCAGAAGGACACTGCACAAGGGGGCAAAGCCGTGGGGTCCCCCAGCCTCAGTCTCCTCATCTCTGGATGCAGGGCTGGGACATGACGGTCTCTTCATGGGAACGTGGCTCCTTCTGGGACTCCTCAGTAACAGGCTCAGGAAAGAGGCCTGGGCCCAGCCCCTGAGAGATTCCTTTTTGGAGCTCCTCCCTGGTGTGGGTTGCCCCTGTAGGTCACGTGTTTAGACTTGTAGAATACTGATCTGTATTGGCACTGGAAGTTTTCAGTAAACCCGGGGGTGTACCATGTGGTGGCTCCCTCGTCTGTTCTTGCCTGCAGCACGTGACCAGACCCCCAACACGTCCCAGGCCTGTACTAGGTACAGGGGCTTCAGCCAGGAGTCACAGTGCCTGCCAAACAGCAGCGTGGGTGCACGTTTCGCCACCTAATGGGACAGTTCTTATAAAGTCACTTTCCCTTGTTATTGGAAAGGTGGGTAAAAGAACCGAAAGCCCCAGCTTCTTTCCCAGTTGGCTCTCTGAACTTGTTGTAGCTAAAGAACCCTGTGAGCCTCAGTCTCCTCACCTGTTAAATGGGGACAATGGTCTCACTTTGCTGCTCGCCCTGCCCACCTTGCAGAGCTGTGGCCCTTCAGCAGGAGAATTCTGTGTGGTGGAAGGCACATCAACTCTATAGATGAGGTCGTCTTGCTGATCCCTCAGCACACAAAGATAGACGTGCTCTGAAAGATGTGGGGTATTAAACACAAAGAGAGAATGACAGTGTTGTCTCTACCCTCTCCTGAGTTTGAAAGAGTCTTATGAAGGCATAATAGTAAAACAAAACCAAACCAGGAGAATCAAACTGTGGCCACAAAGACCCATGTCATCCCTTTGCCAGCGTATGGCTCAGAATCCAGTCATTGGTGATGGAACTGATTGTAGCCTGTCCTTCTAGTGCACCAGGTGGCCGAGCGGGTGGAAGCTCTGGGGCAGTTTGTCATGAAGACCAGGAGGACCCTCAAAGGCCATGGGAACAAGGTTCTCTGCATGGACTGGTGCAAAGATAAGAGGAGGATTGTGAGCTCCTCCCAGGTAGGTGGCATCTGCTCTGTGAGGGTGCGCAAGGGTCTGACTTGATCACTGAAGAAGAAAGAGAACTTTCCTTTTCAAAAAACACTGTCTGCTCTTAGTCCCTCTGCTTATTCTCCACAGGACGTGAGTTAGCATAGTGCAGCATTCTCTTGCAGACTGTAGAATGTCACTGATTTGGGTGGATTCAGAGTTATGGTAATAACTGAAATGTGAACTATATCTGAGAAGCCATTCAGAATTATTTTTCCTGAGCTTACTTCAGGAAATCAAATTCATTTTTTAGATAGTGGGGCATTTCCCCCCCAAATTGAGGACATAAGTGCTTGTGGCTTCTTTTAGTTTAAGAGTTCCTAAACACTTTTTATGCCTTAAAGAATAAATTTAAGATAAATATTTTGTAAAGTATAATTTTTCATTCATTTTATGTAGTTGACATTGTCTCTTCTATATCTTAAGTACTAGTTTTATCTATTGCTGCATCACAAATTACCTCCAAATTCAGCAACTTAAAACAACAAATATTATTTCACATGGTTTCTGAGAGCCAGATAAGGGTGGCTTATCTGGGTGGGTTTTTTTTTTTTTTTTTTTTTTATGTTATGTTAGTCACCAGTACGTACATCATTAGTTTTTGATGTAGTGTCCCATGGATGGTTCTGGCTCAGAGTCCCTCATGGGGTTACAGTCAAGATGTTGGTCAGAACTGAGGTCACGGCACAGCTCGACTAGGGCAGAAACTCATTTCCAAAATGGCTCATCGACTGGAGGCCCTCATTCTTCACCATGTAGACCTTTCCACAGAGCTGCTCATGAGATGGTAGCCAGCCTTCCCCAGAGCAAGAGGGGGAGAAGGAGGCTGAAGCCAGGCCGTCAAACGTAACATTCCTTCACTCCTGCTGTTTTCCAACCCTGACGTGAGGGAGGGGCCTCTACAAAAGTGTGACTGTCAGGAGTCTGATGATCACTGCTTGGTCCTTTTTATGTCTATTTTGATGTAATATGCATTGAATTATAAAATTATAAACTGAAGTCCTCTATATTTATGGCCAGTTTGGACTCCCCTCCCACCATTCCTACTTTCAGCCCAGATTTTCCAAAGGACAATTTTGGGGTTTTTAATAGCCCTTTTAAATATAAAAACTGTACGTGATCTAAATAATCCACACCCTCCAACATGTGTCAGGTTGTGTTTGGTAAGGACAGGTGTTCTTAATCTCCTGTATTACCTGTAGATCTAATGTGTCATGTTGTACTTGCTTTCTTTTAAGTTCATAAAACATTTATCTCTTACGTATGTTACCATGTTAAAGAGACCCTGAAAAAGAGAACAAAGAAACCATTTTACTCCCACCGCCCTGTCCCAACCATTATTACTATTTCAGAGCATTTCTTTCCAGACTTTTTTTTTTTTTTACCAAGTGGTTATCAAGATACACATGTTGCTACCTAGCCTTTTTGACATTTTTTTATCCTTCAAAGTACAATAGATACTGGATTTTTCTGTCACTCACATGCTGTTCTTATTAGAGAGGGAGGAGGGACATTGCTGACACGCTCCATCCTCCCGGCTCTGCTGCAGAGAAGACGAGAAGCGGGGCGGGTGTGGGAGGAGGCTGGAAACAGCAGGAACATTCTGGAGCAGACGGAGTGACTCAGAGCAGCCCTTCTCTCTCACAGGCAGGAGATTAATTAGCCTGACTGCGTGGGGTAGGGCTTGGGGTGGGGGTGGTCTCTCCAGGTTCACAGGCCCCTGGTGTATAAATCTGGGCTTCTGGAGAGGCCCACATTTGGTTTCATAGCTGATTTTAGCCTCTTGGGTGCCTTCTTCTCTCCAGAGCACACAGTGGGTGGGAAGTGGGGCCGGCAGGCAGGCAGTGTTGGGGAGGAAGCCGCCAGAAGGAAGGCCAGCTCGGACAACACACGGAGAGCCAGGCTCCAGGTGAGGGGGGGGTCCCGGGGTACAGGTCTGGAGCTCCTTCCCTCCTATCTGCCCTGTTACCTAATCTACCTCAAATGTGTTTGGGCATTCAGTCAGAGAAATTAGACTGGAAGAGCCAATGTGCTTAGGAGTTTTGAAAGGCCCCAGATGGCCCACTTTGACTTTTTTCCTGGGCTTTTTAGCCACATGCAGCAAGAATATGGAAGTCTTCCAGTGGATCATGCAAAGAAAGCAACCATGTCACTTTGGATAATCAGACCTTGCTTGTGTCCCTGAGTGGCATCTCTCCCCCCCACCCTTACCTCATTGTTCAGATATAGCTCCAAACGGCTTCAGTGATTACAAAAACCAAGCCTGCCGTGGAGGTGGCCGACTCGGCCATCTTCTTCCTCTGTCAGGCAGAGTCTGGGGGCCCAGAGGACCTGCACACCACATGCCAAGCAGGCGGCTGCCCTGTAGGGACCAGGGCTTGTGTGGGTTTATATGACACACACACAACTTTGTGGTGACCCCCGACAGCCCCAGTGTGACTGCAGCAGCTGTCACGGTGAAAGTAGCCTCGCCAGCCCTGAGTCCACCCTTGGCAGCGAGTGCTCTGCGGAGGGGCCCCACCGTGACAGACAGGAGTTGCACATTGTTCTCAGCACAGATGTGAAACGTCCGGGTGGGGAAGTGACACTGATGTCAGGCCTGCGCAGCCCAGATTGGAATGCGTGCTGGTGGGGCTCTGACCCAGAGAGCGGGGAGCGTGGGGCTCAGGAGCCAGGACGGCTGGTGGGGGTGGGGAGGGAGGAAGTAAGAGACCACTAGTTACCTGGCAAGTACCTTGAGGTAATTTCAGGTCTGTCTCACCCCTGTCTAGCTTCTTGTCAGGACGTGTGGGCGATGACAAGATACCAACAATCAGTGCTTGGTTTCTAAATGGTCTAGAAGTCTCTGAGCATTGCTTTGTATTCCACAAGCGGTATCCCATTGAGAACTGAGCCTGTAATCGGGCTGGACAGTTCAGCCCCCCATTCCCTCCCTGTTGTTCAGAGATTGGCTGGAGGTTCTGATACCCGGGTACTCACTCTGGCGGTCTCCTGCACGCTGCCCAGCCAGACACAGCTCTTCGAGCATTCTCAGCAGCTCCCTGTCAGGACTGGCTGACAACTCCTAAGCTGTTGACTCTTTTCCCTCCAGGATGGGAAGGTGATCGTGTGGGATTCCTTCACTACTAACAAGGTAAGAGGTTGTCCCTGGCTCTTTGAGCAGCACCTCAGAGCCCCAGCCCTGTCCTCTTCCCTGCCAGATACCCCCAGGCATGGTCATCCGGCTCCTCGGCTGCCTGTCTGGGGTTGAAAACCCCAGGAAAGCCCATCTTGTGTTGGGACAGCCCAGTAACCCACACCGTGTCCGTCTCCATCCGGAGCTGAAACCTCTCCCCCAGGCAGGAGCACACAGAGCCCTCAGAGAGGGCACTAACACGCCGGAAAGGGCCTGGCCTGGAAAACTCAGCACATTCACATAGGCATATATTATTTTTCTCCTGAGAGGTGGTAGGAGGTTCCTGAACCCCCAGCTTTCTCTGCCCTCTGTGTCTTTTTTTTTTTTTTTTAACAATTTTATTCATTTATTTGACAGAGACACAGCAAGAGTGGGAACACAAGCAGGGGGAGTGAGAGAGGGAGAAGCAGGCTCCCCGCTGAGCAGGGAGCCCGATGCGGGGCTCGATCCCAGGACCCTGAGATCATGACCTGAGCCAAAGACAGATGCTTAACCACTGAGCCTCCCAGGCACCCCTGTCCTCTGTGTCTTTGACCGGACTCTGTAGCATCATGGACATGAGCAGATGGTGGAGGCGGGGGGAAGCTGAAGCTGCAAGGAGTTGAACTGACTCTCCAGTGATGCCTGCAAGTCGGGCCTGGGCGTGCTCAGCTCCAAATATGACCTACATTTAGACTCTTAACTAAAGAGAAAGGCGAAAATCTCTGTGGAGATGTGCTCACAAGCCTGCCTTGTGTTGCCTTTTACCGTAACAACTACTATGTATTCCATACTGGTTCCGTTGTTTATACAGGGAAGGTCTTCTCTCTCACCATATAAGACAAAGAGACCTCTGTGTGCCTCAGACCCAGCAGCATCCATATTCTGCATGATTGAACGTGTTTAGTAAGTGTTGTAGTAGACAGGTGCACACAGGCTGATCAAGGGGGGCCCAGAACCATCTTCTGGAGCAGAGTCCCTCATGGTCAGGCTCCTGGGAAATAGTAAAGATGGCAGCTTAGCAATTTGCAGGGGGTTTCCTCTCCAGCACCTCCCTCCATGGAGGCCTCTCCTTCTGCCAGCGCGCCTTAGCATCTTCAAGAGTGTGTAGGGGTTTGTTGCTTCTGTTTAAAAGCCCTAGGATGTCATAGAGCACACACTGCCTGATTTCTGGGGAGCCATGGTGTTGCCACTGTGGCCCCTGACAGGGAACATAGCTGTTACTTGAAGGGGGCCTGTGGCGCCTTGTGCTCAGAGTGGCCATTTGCTGCCGTGGGTTATTCTAGGCATCCAAAAGGCTGTAATTGTGAGTGACAGAATTTCTGTGAGCAGTATCAGGGCCCGTGTTTCCCCCACAAAAACACAGAGAATCATAACAGGAAAGAAGACCAGCACTGAAAGGTACTGAAATCATCTAGTCCTATCCTCTCTCTTCACCGATGGGGAGAGACTGAGGGTGGACAGGTGGCCATCCTGCTTGGGGCCACACATCTTGCTGGTGTTGGAACCAGGAACCGGGGCCCATGTCTCTCAGGGAAAGAAGCCCACAGATGCAGAAGGTTTCCAATTGTGGCTTTGTTCCCTGTCAGCATGCAGGAGAATGTGGGTGACCCGACCACCAGCCAGGAGCAGGAACTGCTACCTCTAGTTCTCATCGCTCCCACGTTATAGGGTCTCTCAAGATCACCCTGCCCTCGCCCGCTTTCATTCTGACCTTCCCAGGAAGGTGTCAGGACCCAAGGGGACAGAGGCCCTTGGATACTCACAGGGCAACAAACACAGCATACATGTAGGATCATTTAAGAGTAGATTCTGAAAATAGGAAGAATCTGAGTAAATAAGGTAAAGCGTATAACTGAAGTGAAATTCTGACAGACCTTTCACAGAAAATGAGCCCCAATATTCATTCACAAGAACAAGAGGAGTATCACATTAAGAAAGAAGTAGGGGCACCTGGGTGGCTCAGTTGGTTGAGCATCCGACTTGGTTTCTGCTCAGGTCATGATCTCATGAGTCGTGAGATCGAGCCCCATGTTGGGCTCCACATGTTAACACATTTGTGTAGGAGCGCCGTTCATTCCCTCTGTGAGGCTCACGTTCTGTGTTTCAGGAGCACGCAGTCACCATGCCCTGCACGTGGGTGATGGCCTGTGCGTATGCCCCGTCGGGATGCGCCATTGCATGTGGGTAAGTAGGGGTCAGGCAGCTTTTCAGATCTCCTGTCTGCCATGAAACACTGTTTGATGGGCAAAAACAAGCAAACAAACCCAAACTTACTGTTTTTGCTGATTGGTTAGGCAGTGTGTTTAATTCCTCCCTGAACTCCCTTAAAAAAGAAACCATGAAACTCTCTTTCATACTTATTTTCATTAAAGACTGACAGTAGCTCACGTTTCAGACCTGCCTCCTCTATTCTCAAACGCTATCAGCTGGGACCATAAATTGGTACAAACATTTTGGAAAACATGTTGGTAATGTGTATTGGAAGCCTTGAAAAATTTATAACCTTTGATCTAGTGATTCCACACATCTTAACAACTTGCTTGAAAGGAGTGATCCAAAATATAGAAGAGCCACACGAGCAGTAATATTTACTGTAGCATTATCTAAAATAAAGCAAAGAAAGGGGGTTGTAGGGAGGAATAATGTGTCTATCAAAGGAAATTATTAAGTGAATTGTGGGACATGAGTTGAAGGTATTATTTTATACAAACATTAAAGAAGAGACTTCTTAATTATGGTAACTAATCATTCAGGTTGCTAGGAAGATGGTGTTTTTTCCCCCTATTCTCCTGGAGCTCAGTTTAACAGAATTGGCAGTAAAAGCTGCAACCAACATAATTCCCTGTCCCTGTGTTAAACAATTCTGGAACCATCCAAAATACCTCTACCATAGGATCCCAGCCATGTTTAGAAAAGAGGCATGAAGTCTGTGATGAACTGTACCAAAAAATCCGATAGTAGTTCCTTGTGGAAGATGGGACTATGGGGTTTTCTCTTTTTTATAATTTTCCAATTTTGAAAATAAGCATTTTTTTTTATAATCAGGAGAAAGGAGTTTCAATTCAAAAATGAAAACCCGGGCGCCTGGGTGGCTCAGTGGGTTAAGCCGCTGCCTTCGGCTCAGGTCATGATCTCAGGGTCCTGGGATCGAGTCCCGCATCAGGCTCTCTGCTCAGCAGGGAGCCTGCTTCCCTCTCTCTCTCTCTCTCTCTCTCTCTGCCTGCCTCTCTGTCTACTTGTGATCTCTCTCTGTCAAATAAATAAATAAAATCTTAAAAAAAAAAATGAAACTCTTGGCCTCTAAGCAGAAAGTTTGGAGCCTTCTCCATCCAGAGTCACACCAATGGTCATCCTCAACATCCCTCCCTTTCAGGGGCCATTTGGGGCATCTTTTTTTTTTTTTTTTTTTAAGATTTTATTT